CATTTTTATTCTTGTAATTGTCATTCATTCTTCCATTAGTCTAGGATCAAGTCCTTCTGGCAGACTTCAAGCTTTAAACGACAATTTCCAGGCTTTGGTGTTATGCTGGGACATGTATTCATGGAGCCTGCCACAATTAATTATCCCTTCGAGAAGGGACCCCTCAGTTCTCGATTCAGGTATGCTTTTTTCAAGCTTTCTCATAATCGTCTTTTTTTTACCGGTGTTCATGTTTACTTTTACTTCATCTCATCTGTACAATCTACAGAATTGGATAGGTAGGATTGTATGATGAGAAACGCTCTTTGGGCGAATGTGGGCTAAAGACTACACATTATATGTGAAGCGTAACTTCCTTTCAATAGTTATTTTGGCGATGCACCTTTGCATACTAATCCTACGAAGCAATGGTAAAAATAATGCTAATTTCTCCAATATTTTCTCTTGGAATGCCAAGCCGATCCACATAAGTAGAAGCGGATGTATGTGAATCATCCTGACCATTCTCTAGAATAAGCCTAGAAGGGTGCAGGAACTTCGTGGAATATGGAAATCGCTCACGCACCTGAGGTCTCTTCTCCTTTGCTTAAGGCTCAGTCCCGATTTCAACACGAAGGAGATGATCTACGCGGGTTCAAAATGCACTGGCATCCTTATGCCTCCCCCGTATTTTGCGATAGCGCCGATTTTTCTTCAGTTTTCAATATATCTTAGGTTTCTTGTTCTAGAGGAGAGCATGCCCTTCGCCGCTATCCATCAGGTGAAGAGCGTTGTATTGCTTGCAAGCTATGTGAAGCAATTTGTCCTGCTCAGGTTTGTGACAATCCCTTTCAAAGTGTTGCTGTGCTCTCACTTCATCCTCAAGTATCAATCCCAAAATTTCAGGCAATTACGATTGAAGCGGAAACTCGTCCGGATGGCAGTAGGCGCACAACCCGATACGATATTGACATGACCAAGTATGTCCTTGCTCTTCGCAGTTTTATAGCCATACATTTTTTTCTCGAAGCATAACTTGAGTAACTGTTTAAAGGTGTATCTACTGTGGCCTATGTCAGGAGGCATGCCCTGTCGACGCCATTGTAGAGGGGCCGAATTTTGAATATTCCACAGAAACACACATGGAACTGCTCTACAACAAGGTATCATTAGAAGTCATTTTGTCTTTACAGGGTCTGTGCTATCACGAAAATCTGGCACATTCTTGAATTCGGCGAAAAATTGATGATGAGTTCGAATCCTGACTGTTAGCAACAAGGCACCGTTGACTAACGAAAATTATTCAACATTTACATTTGAATCTACCTCATCCATTTCCGTTACCGAGCATTGAGTCGCCTAGGGAAGCCATCCATCGCTGCATGCAGGCAGCTTTTTTCAGTTCAACCCTTTAAAAAGCAACCCGGTGATTCCGAATACCTAACCAGTTTTTGCACGCCTTGGATCTTCAGGAACTGGATAGTCTGATGGCAATGTGTGGCTCCATTAAGGTTTTCTATGTCTGCGCTCGAAAAATGCTAAATGCTGCGAAAAAAATTACACCAAAGAAAGAGTAGCACTAGCACGCATACTTTTAGTAATTTGCCCGCATTCTTTATATAAACGAGCACGGGATTGTCGTCAGCTAATTCCTTTTTACAGGAAAAATTGCTGACAAATGGCGACCGTTGGGAACCAGAGTTAGCTGCGAATTTGCAATCGGAATTTTTGTATCGATAGATCGTTGAGCAAGGACAATAATATTGGTAGAAATCATGCTATGGATAGATTTTATGTCATATAAGGAAAACAATATTCTTTATCATATGCATACAGCTTGGATAAAGATTCAACACATATCGTTTCTGACTAATTCGAAGATGTTCTCAGCAGCTTCTACTTTTGCACAATATTACTTCACTATTTGCATTTTTTACCATTTTTACTTGAACCAGAGGGAAGCATCATGACCATGTCACCGATCATTGCGGAAGAAATGGGTGATGACTTACGGGAGATGATTGCTCGTACCCGCAAAAGCCCGATATCGCTTTTTCTAGAAATGTATATGCAAGTGTTCAAGTAAGTAGCTTAGCATATTTTTTACAATTTGAGCACTTCCTCATCGTAGTGAATAACTTCAGATCGACGCCTGAAGTCATGGTGGAGACCATCCATGGAGAAGAGAAGGGAACGTGAGTTTCATTTGAAATTTTTCAAAGTTTGCTTTCTTCCTGTCTTTTATGGTAGGTTATGGTGTTTTTAGTTTCCTTAAATTAAAAGCGAATCCGCCACGAAATACCGCTCCATAAAATGGTTTTTATTTCCTTTCTTGATTTCTCAAACACCCACAATTTTACTAATTAGCTATCGTATGATTCCCTTGCAGGTTTCTCTTTGTTATGTCGGTCCAAGTAGGAAATGCCATGGTAAGAGGTGCGCCGCATCGAACCAAGAAGATTGCTAAGATGGATTGCTTCGTCAAGGGCATTAAGGTACGAGTGTTGTGATTTTGTGAGACTTTGATTTCTGCTCGGGTCCCATATTCTGCTTGGAATGCTTCTCTGCTCAGCGAACTGGTTTTTGTTCCGAACATACAGAACTTGAGTTTTTTTTTGCTTCTCAAAAATTTCATGGAGTGAGGTGGGTTCAGATGTAATGTTTTTGAGCTCTTTAGAAAAATCTAAAAAGTCGATGTGTGTATCTGTCTGAAAAATCCTTCGATTACTCCGTATAAACGATAGTTCTTCATTTCGGTAGACGCTATCTTCACAATAACTTGCGTGATAATCTCCGTTTTTGATATCCAGAGAAAAATAAATGAGCATTGAATCTTTCAAGGAGCGCTGCTCGATCTATTATAACTACTTTTTTGGCTGTTTATAGGTGCTTTGCGAGAAGTTCTCGTTGGATATTGCGAAGTCAGCTCAGGATCTTGAATTCAAGCAGGAGTCTACCTTTTCCGAACTCCTTCGCAAGCACACATATATGGCGCAAGTTTTAATGGTAGTATTTACCGGTTCTTATGCGCCTAATCACCCTTCTGGACCTTGTTTGCCGTTGTTTTTATCATTGACGATATGTGAACAGGGGTCGTATGCAGCACTCTCGATTGGGTGTGGGTTCCCTCTTGACCCCCTAGGAGGATTTATCCCCGGTCAGTAGATATGCAGGGATTAATGACAAGGAATCTCAGACAGATGGAGTATTGCTGGATGGGGCCCGCTAGTTGTGATTCATTTACTAAGTGATCTCTCGCAAGATCATGCTAGTGGTACCTTAGATTTTCTGTAAGAGTAAGCATAGGTCTTACTGATCCGTTGGAAGTAAGCGGTATCGTGAGGAATGAGCACGATTGAATTGTTTGACATGCGAGCAATGTTCTTTCACAGTGTGTGTTACAACAACGCTTACCAGAAACTCAGCCAAATAGGTAAGCTAGGACAGTTGATGGCGTCCATACCATAACAGTGAAATTTTTCTCCATAGTATAGTTTATTCATCCCAGAACAAGAACGTTGGCCCGCTGCCAATGTTTTTATAATGATGTGAGTGCTCGATCACGGAGTTACTCCTTTAATAGCTGCACTTATGTGTCTATACTTTCCTTCCAGACTCGGTAATGCATACCCTGAGATTATCGGATCAGAGAAAGTGATCGCAAGCATCTTTCTCGTTACGAGGAATCATCATGGAAGCAGTGCCGATTTGGTCTCATTAGGCACAGGAAATAAGGGTCTTAGGGGTTGGTTGAAACTCTTCAAATTTTGTAAGCTGCATACTTACACTGTAAGTTTGTATTTAAACTTTAATGTCATTTGTGATTTTTATATGCCTATGAGCTTATTCGTAATAACTTCGTATAGCATACATTAAGATTTTGTTCTGTCACAAGTCTGCTGAGTTGTGCGAACAAAACCTTCACCCCATGCCGGGATTCGTACCACGAATCTCTTGTTTGTCGCGGCAGTGGGGGGCCGCAGTTACACCACAGGGCTACCATATGTTTTTGATATCCGGAAATACCTGGTTTAACCTTCGCCTTTAATGAACATTCCTCCTTTCTTCGATCATGGTCTGAAGCCACAACGGCGCCGCAACCACTCCACTGTAGTGGAATTAGATCAATTTTTTACGAAATATGTTTTTACGGTCTCATTCAGGCGATATGCTCAGTCTTCATGGGCTCTCTGTGAATGACTGCCATGCTGAAATAGTTGCTCGACGAGGTCTATTACGGTAAGTAATCCTATGCAAACTTATCGCTTGCCGGTCTGGTTAAGTGCTGAAACTCAGATTCTTGTACGCGCAAGTTCTGCTGTATGCCCAAGATGCATCGAAGTCGATTTTCGTGAAAACTAATGAATTAGGTACGTCTGCAACATTTATTAATTCGGGTTTCCTTGCCATAATGGATTCAGTTTAGGGCGGTTAGCGCTTCGCAAGGGTCTGTCATTCCACATGTTTGTCAACACTGCACCGTGTGGAGACGCTCGTGCATACGTTCTCAACGAGGATGGCGTTCAAAACAACGAGGTCGATTCCCATAGTCATCTCCGTTTCAAAGTCGAGAATGGTGGGCTTCTGTTCATGTTCCTTATGTTCAATTGTTAATTCTTTGCTCGAGTGGTGAAGGCGTCTCCCGACTTATCTTTGCGACTATCAGTTGAAGCATTTCTTTGTAGATTTCATTATGTGTGGCTCCGGAATATCACTGTCGCCTTCTTTTAACAGAATGAATCTGAAGTAGTTTATTCTTCAATGAGGTATTAAAACAGGCGAATTTCAGGAATGGGGACGATACTGGGTCGCACACCTGAAACGTTAGCACCCCAAACAATAGACGGAATCGCTGGTGGAGAACGTATTCGTACCATGTCATGCAGTGATAAGATCATGCGTTGGAATATTCTTGGAATTCAAGGAGAACTTTTGTCGCTACTAATTGATCCTGTGCGTTTCAAGTTTTGGTACCTTCTTTCCTCTTTCGAATCAGCAAAGGAACAATCTCTTAGATTTACCTTTCTTCGATATCTGTTGCTGAGAAGGCCGACAAGAGCCGTTTGGAGCGTGCTCTATTCCGTCGTGTGGAGGGATTTGTTCCTGTAGCACCATTTCGTTTGAACAAACCCTACATTGGACACTGTCAGGTGAGTCATAGTTTAGATTCAGTTTCTGTTCGGATTTCCGTTTCTGAAACGATCATTTTCAGTCGGAAACAAATATCCGGGATACAACACCTGGTGCCCCAATGTCGGTGAATTGGAACATAGCAGATGACTCTGTTGAGGTATCCATTTATTGACTGCAACATTCGTTATACGTTGCTTGCGCAACCGAAAACTCGTTAAATATTCAATTTCTGATAGAGTCAGCAAATCCAACTTGCACATATTATCTGAGCTTTTAGGTTTCGATTGAGCTAGTCCTAATAAATATCGTCTGCTCACAATTTCTCCCTCTCAACTTTTTTGAGTCTCGCTCTATTTTGAGCAACCCCTCTACTCCCAGTGAGCGCTTGCTACATTGTAACTCATCGATCTGTCTTTAACTGTTGACCTCCACCTACTGCTGAGCTTCCAACGTAATTTTGTCAGTCGCCTCTCATCGGGCATATTCACAGCTCTGCTACTTGTAGTTCGCGCAGTTCGAGTATAGAGGACCGATCGATAGGTATCGTAATCCACACTCAAACTGCATGTACTGGCAAAACTATGAATGCGCTCATCAAGACGAGGCAGTTGAACAGTGATATAAGAAAAAGTAGAAACGAAAATATTTGCAAATCGAATTTTCTTATTTCACAGAAAAAGACTAAAATTTGGGAGTCATTTGATGATCTTGATGACCATGTATTTTTGCATATTGTTTGAGAACTATAAGTACCATAAAAGTGGAAGGTGCAGGATTGGTAAACTACGGCTGATCAAGTACTTTTTTCCGGCAAATTGTTGAATAGTACCGAACTTTTTCAAATATTCTTGTCTTCATCACTAACGGCATCTTCACAGAACATTTCCTGATTCAAAACATTTGCTCAGATCCTGCGACCAAGCAGTGGCCGTCTAGAAAAAGATACCCAAGATGTTTCCCGCCTTTCCAAGAGTCAAATCGCCATGCTCTTCAAAAAAGTAGGTTTTTGGTTTGTTTACCATACATTCACCGTTTTTGTCTCAGCTGTTTAGGGAACTGTGTTTAAGAGCTATAAATTTCCTAAACAATGGAAATAAGTTGCAGGTCTGCAGTGATCTTGGAAAACCAGTTCCGCAAGGGTATACGTATGAAAACATGAAGGTCCATTGTCAAGCCTATGAACAGGGCAGGATTTCGCTTGAGACTTGGTAAGTCGTTCAGTGTTACTGTATAGTGCAAGATGATTTGGTAGGTTTTTTACGAATTACTTAACTAGCACATGTATATAAAGGAATATAATTAAATTTATTGTTTAGGCTTCGAGACCAGAAACTAGGAATGTGGCAGTCAAAGCCAGAAGAAGTGTCAATGTTCGTTGTTTGAGGTTGATCTTGGCGTATTCAAAACAGAAATACCTCTCTTTCGTTTTGGATGTTCCATGTTTCTGATCTCTAATTCCAAAATTTTCCTAATCTCTCCCTCATACGTACAAGGTACAAGATCAGAAAGATGAGCGCTATAACATCTTGTTTGATTGTATGTCTTTTAGACTGATCACTTTCAAGTATTGTTTCGTTTCAACCCGCTCTGCGGCTCTTTAGTTATTT